GGGTGGTCATCCCCTAAAAAAACTCCACATTGCATAGTTCTAAACTATCTGAGAATGTAGTTTTTATGACTCTTTAGTGATCCCCAAATTTTCAAATTTTTTTCTTCAGTCGTTCAAACCTTACAGCTGCATACCAGGAGTTTTGGAAAGCCCTGTATAATGATCAGCAGTGTAACGGTAACACAATGAATACTCTGCACCAAGATCAGGAAAGTAAAGGGAGAAAAGCAAAACATAACAATTCCAATATATACAAAAAAATTAAAGATCTCGCCGTAAACAGTGCAACCAGTGAACGTAATAACTCAGCCACACCAATGACGATCTGATTAATATTCTGGTAGAAACAATAAATATCATTACATAACAGTAATGATACCAAACGAATGATTGCCATTAGATATACAGACTGTCCCATATCTTCCGCATCTCATCATTATACGGTTGAAGATTGATACATTATTCTCAAGTGATTTTTCTAATAAAATTTTTTCGAAATGTTTATAATAACCGCATAGGAACTGTTTAAAGTCGTCCAGTAGGAGATCATNCTATTTAAAAATGTGGGGGTGGTCATCCCCTAAAAAAACTCCACATTGCATAGTTCTAAACTATCTGAGAATGTAGTTTTTATGACTCTTTAGTGATCCCCAAATTTTCAAATTTTTTTCTTCAGTCGTTCAAACCTTACAGCTGCATACCCGGAGTTTTGGAAAGCCCTGTATAATGATCAGCAGTGTAACGGTAACACAATGAATACTCTGCACCAAGATCAGGAAAGTAAAGGGATAAAAGCAGAACATAACAACTCCAACATATACAACAAAATTAAAGAACTCGCCGTGAACAGTGCAACCAGTGAACATAAACAGCTCAGCCACACCAGTGACGACCTGATTCATATTCTGGTGAAACAATAAATATCGTTACATAACAGTTATGATACCAAACGAATGGTTGCCATCAACTTTCATTACATTAAGGAAGAAGAGTGCAAATATTACTAAGATGATACAGCATGATAAGGCATGATAATGGTTCGCACATTAAAAATATTGTTGAAACTGATCCATAATATACAGTAAACTAGATACAAACATTAACGACACGAAATTTGCTCTCCGTAACAGTTTGTACTCTATACCATAGCACAAAATGCCTAGACATAAATCAAGACCTATACATATGCTTCAGATAATATACCTATAGATTATAACAAAGTCTTCGCTAATAATGAGCAACATAGACCTTAGATATTCAGGTGGTCCCGTATTTTCCGCATCAGACCATTATACGGTTGAAGATTGATACATTATTCTCAAGCGATTTTTTTAATAACATTTTTTCGAAATGTTTATAATAATCGCACGGGAACTGTTCAAAGACGTCCAGTAGATTATAAATCAGACTCAGGCAATCGGTCTCACCCTCGGCCGGTCCGCCGCGCCGTTCATAACTCGTTTCTCACGTGTACTTACCAATAGATTCGACACGGAAAAAGAAATAAACTTTTTCCCTGAATTGCTATTAGACGACTTTAAACAGTTCCCGTGCGGTTATTATAAACATTTCGAAACATTTTTATTAGAAAAATCTCTCCAGAATAATGTATCCTTCAACCGTATAATGTTCTGATGCGGAAAACACGGGACACCTGTACAGAAATAATTTAAAATTTCTACCACAGCAGTAGTGAATGAAGAATAGGGGCTATTATTCATCATAAGATAAACGACGTACGCGATAACAAAATCAACTCTACAACCGTAGAATACCTATATGTAAAGAATNACAGCAGTAGTGAATGAAGAATAGGGGCTATTATTCATCATAAGATAAACGACGTACGCGATAACAAAATCAACTCTACAACCGTAGAATACCTATATGTAAAGAATTACCCTATTGATAGGGTAAAGAATACAAATAGCAAGGCACACCTGTGCATGAGGGCAATAATATCACTCAAGAAATACGAATTAGAATCGAACGAGCAAGAAGTACATTTACTAAAATGAGGAGGCTTAAACGTGCCTTTCTATTGCCGAGATCTAAATATTTAATTAAAAATATGAATAGAGAGATGCTATGTATTATCAGTGCAATGAAGCCTGGACATTGAAAGAAATCGACGTAGCGAGACTGGAGATATTTGAACTATGGATGTACTGGAGAATACTTAGGGTTTAATGGACGTACAAAATAACCAACGTAGAGTTGATAAGACGGACGAGAAAAGAGAAAGAAGAAAACTTATCTTGAGAGAAAAACATATCTAACACTCCAACTTTTATGCATTGAAAAATCACAGGAAAGAGATCTATAGGAAAGTGACGAAGCCCAAATTAATTATAAGACTAGAGTTAGGAAAGAACTACAAACCCTGGAAGGAATAGGAAATGAGTTCAGTAGATTCTTCCTGGACAACCATTACAACGATGCTGCAAAAAATTGCCGAAGAGGTAGTTGACGATGAGGTATAACGAAAAATGCAAGAAGACCATTGACAAACAAAACAAGATGCGACAAAGAAAGATACAACGACCGACTAGAAGTCAAACAGGGACGGAAAAAACGAGAATATCTACACAGACAACTAAGCACAGTACAAGAATTTTGCAGAAATATGGAGGTGAGAGGCTTATCTGCCAAACTTATAAAAAGATACGGTACAGAATTACCTCTTATACCGAGGAGAACTGAGGCGAGTACCAAGGTGGGTTTAAAACCGGCATATGCACCACAGATCAGCTTATTACAGTTTGACAGGTCATTGAAAATGCATGGGAATTTGATACCATGTTATGGATCGAGAACCACTATACAGAGTGTGTATAAATTGGCGGAAAAGCTATACGCGACGACATGCTCCGCTTAATTCTGAAGTGAAAATATTAATGCAAAAATGTTGTACCATGCTTCATCCTAGTTCACGAGGTTTTCAAAGGTCGGTCAATTAGGTCATAAATAATCATTAATATTGAAAATCTGTTGATGGAAACGGCTTCCAGTATAAAAAGATCTTTAAAATGATTTTTGTTCACTTTATTTTATTTAGGTTAAAAAGTTTGTTTTTAACATTTCTTAATTAACATACATTCACGAAAAACACTTGACAACATAGTAGAATTTCGTTTAGAATTTTGTCATTTAGAAGTCATTTAAAATTAAAAAAATAAATAATTCACAATGAATTTCACATTCAATGAATTTGTTGACATGTGCATAGAAAGTGTATGTATCTGACAGTCTATCTAACAGGTCAGCATCAGAATATCGATTACGTTTTCCGAACCGCACACATCCCAGTGGAAATGCATTTCGGAGACTCAACCAACGTGCACGCTAAACCAATTTTTTTTATTTCTAGAAATCAGAATGCTGGTAGACCAAGACAAACACGGACGATTAGAGGAACAAATTCTCAATAGTACACGGGAGTTAGGATCAACATTAAATGTTTCTAGTAATAAGACTTCTTCATTCCGCTGCAAAATTGTTGCAATCTTTAAATAGAATTGAAGATGATGATTTTATTAAGTATATTCTCTGGATTGGTGAAACTACGTTTACCAGAGTGTTTTTAACACACATAATATTCACGATTGCATTGGGCGGATGAAAATCCTCATACCTTTCGGCAATAGAGTAACCAAAGAAAATTTTCTGTGAATCTATGGTTGGGTATTGTTGATCTTAGGTAGATGGACCAATTTATTTACATAATCGTCTTAACGCACATGAATATCTCCAAGTATATTGAAAAGTCACGCCCTGAATAGAAAAAATCCACAATGAATGGTTGCTGGAGGAAAATGCGGCCAAATGTTATCAAATCAGAGAAGATTGTAAGATTAAACTAAAACTAGAACTAACACTAGCACTATCACTAGAACTAACACTAGCACTATCACTAGAACTAACACTAGACCTAGAACTAGAAACGTTCGGGTTAAGCCGTGCGTTCTTTGAAAAAATGTTTGACGTTTCGGATGCCATGTTGCAACCTTGTTCAGAAACAAGTTCGAAGTTGTTTCTGCGATACAACATTTTTACATTAAGATTTTCACTTCAGAATCAAACGAAGGACGTCGTCAAGAATAGCATTTCCGTCAAGTTATGCACACCAGTATAGATCCAAGCATGAAATGGGAATTCCTATTAAATTAGTAAATCTGATACGTATGATGATGAGCAACTCGAACGGTATAGTCAATGTGGAGGGCAGGAGGAGGGCTTACGACTAAACGATAGACTAGCTTTTTTATTGTTTAATATAGCGCTACAGGTCATTAAAAATGTATTAATACCAGAATAGCACCATTATTTACAACGAGACACAATTATAGGCATACGTTAGTGAAGGAGAATGCACACCGTGTAGGGTGGCATATAAATATAGATAAAATCAAAGTGATGGTCCTGAAGACAGCACATAGGCTAGGATAAAAATGGACAATTGGGGACGATAACATTGATGTAGTGCCAAGTTTTACCTATCAAAATAACGTAAAGAGGATGCTTTGAAATTGTTTGGAAGAAGGAATTGGCGAGCGGTTGCGAGGAGTAGGAGTTCTTGGAGGAGGTTTATGCTCATTCTGGGCTATAACACCACTGCAAAAAGAAAAAGAACCACTTTTTGAAGGCCGAGAAGAAACAATTTGTTTTAGTTTATTAAATTATTTAGAGAAAAACTTAGAAATGGATTTCAAGAAACTACGTTCGTATATAATCGATTATTTTTGTTAATTAGTAAACTATTTGTTTTAGTTTAACCAAATTTAGTTGCTTGTTTTATTTCTTCTTTTAATCTTAAAAATGTCGGGTTACTGAATTACTGGTACACCTCTATAAAACGGATTTTAAAGATATGCTTAAAGTCGCACATATTAAGATTCAACTGTATGAAGGACATTTTCTCAAATTATATCTTCTATGATATAAGTTTTTGTAGTCCAACAATGTGTTGTAAGTAAATTTAAAATAAGATATATACTTACTGCGTAATCCACAAAACGAAAATCTTTCACAAAACTCTGTTGCAATAATACAAAGGATAGATGCAGGTAGTGGATTCTGTTGAGAAATTGACTAAAAATGTATTACAACACAATTTAATTCTTAAAAGTATTTAATAATAACGAAAAATTAAAAAAATACTTACATCCATATTATAATTATTTTCAAAATTATTTAATGTTACTTCAAAGAACAGTTTTTGATTTTGTCATATTGACATACTGACGTCAACATCTTATTAAAAGAAAATCTTTCATACTCATTTATTTCTATTTAAATTGTACTAATTTTTTTTTCAAAAAATAATCCTTTATTACCTTTTTGTAAATGATTTTATTATACAACTTATAAAATCTACAATGAGGACATTGCATATATTACACATTGATTTTATACTTCTGACATATACAGGTAAGCAACTTGCAGCATAGCACGTTAGTTAACAAGAAACAACAAAGAAATTAATTAGATGTAATTTTATTTATAGAATACAAGAATTTATTGTGCTCAGCTGATATTTTGTGAGTATTAAAAATTTATAATCAAACAGTTCTAATCAAAATCTTAAACTTTTTTCTTTTATCTATCTTTTATTATTGACTAAAAACTTTCTAAAACTCACAATTAATTTGAAAATACGTGGACCATATTTTGGTGATTTTACATTATAATCGATATCACAACATTTAGTTTTTTTTTATTCGCATCGTTAAATACAAGAATACTCCATTTAGAATACCGCTTAGATCTCTAAATAACGCTCAGAGATCAACGAAATAAAAAATGTTGCAGCGTACGGTGTGTTACCGCGGATTTTTTCGATCAGTTTTTTTGCATTTCATTACTATAAAAAATATTTTCAGTCTTTATTCGAAGATATAAGACATAATTATTTTATTATATTTACAAACAGGACGAATGCTGTCGTTACTAATTGGTTAATTATTAATATTAGATTTTGATTTCTTTTTTAGGAAAATTTTACACAGAATATTCAAAATTATTTGAAAAATATCACCTTTTTTGAATACTCTGTATAGACATATTAATGTAATTTGTAACTTCATTAATTTTATTTATGTTACTTAGGTATAAGAAAATGTGCGTCTTTCAAAATGTCGTGCATAAATCCTATTTTAATTATTACAGTTCGAAAAATTCCGCGTACGTACGGCACCAGGCAAAAATATTTTATATACAACATTAACATTATTATATATACATATATAGATACATGAAAATAAATTGCACATTGAACACGTACATATTTTTGATTTTACATAGTGGTACAGGAAAGTGATCTACCTACACATTTTTAAAAAGGTAATATAATTAATTTGCATACAATATACATTTTTTGAATGAAATATTAATTTAGATAAATTTAAACTTCTTCGCACACTTTTTAAATCATGATATTCTAAAGTTTTTTATCTCAAAAGTTAGATCACTTTACTGAATCACGCTGTATAACTTATTTTTATTATACAAGTGATACACATTATTTTTTTATTATAGCAACATTTATTATGTATTATTTTATTGTTATACACGTATTTAAGCTGATATTATAAAGTATACATACAGCAAAGAGAATACAACTATATAAAGTCATAAGATGGTTTGATAGGCTAAATACATATAACATTATATTTGTTTTGTACACAAATAGTATTTCTTTTGTAAGCGTTCTACTGTATACTATCTGTTCTAGTCAAAAATCAATTATGTTTAATAATTCGTTGTTCGTCTACGAAGGAATGGATTTTAGCATCGAATGCTTCTATTACTTATTCAGTGAAAAAAAACGCAAAAAAAACTTTAAATTACGATAGAAATTAAAATCCACAATTTTATTATTATGCCGGCTTGTAAAACACAATGGTCCCTTATCACATTATTATAAAAAATGTACATTACATTTTTTTCGCCGATTAGTTTTAAACAATAAGATTAAAGTAGATGTTTTGTTTTTTCTTCTTCATTATTTTCTTTACATTTGTAGTTTCATTTTTATAGAGAGATCACAGTTGGGAAGAAGGCAACTCTTACTTCTCGAATAATATAAATAATGTTAATTTTAATTTGGTAGATTTTTGAAAAATTGTTATAGTCTTTTAACCGTTTCCTCTTCGCTTTAAATTTGTTTCAATAGAAATTTCTAATGACAAACATGTGGTGTTTCTTTAATATTCAATTAATATATCAAAAACATATAGCATACTTTTTACTTTTAAGTTATAATCCTGTTTTTATTTAATCCAGTAGATTTATCTTAAAGGAATGAAAGGATTACAGTTATATAGTGCAACAAGACAAAGTTAACTCCATCGAAATTGCCGATACCAACGAACGTCAGGAACTTATCTCGTTACATTCGCGTAAGTGCACTAAAACGTTCTTGTCACTAGAAAATTGTTCCCCATTTTAGTGATTGGATGGTAAAATGTAGGTTCCAAATACATAATATTGATCAGTGACAATAACTTTAGTGTTCTTATCCCAATTACTAACACGTATTCACTACCAACTATGTGGCTATGTAATTGTACATGATGTAGCCCCAACACAATTGCCCCCAAAAGTAGTTAAACTCCCAAATGCAGAATAAAACAAGCTTTCGAATGATGTAAATTTTAACTGGTGGTGCTAACTGTGTGCAAATTCACATATCAAATTTCATGTTGATCCGACAAGTACTTTTGGAGTTATTAAGCTGGTTCCATACTTAATTAACACCTTTTATATAGAGGATGTCCCGAAACTCAACGTCAAGCCAGCACCGGGTGAGAGGCTAACCTATACCTGTTCTGGTAAAAATAAGAAAAAAATTCCATGTCCCTTAGTTAAGTGGTAATAGACATATTTTTGAAAATGTTAAAAATCGTTCTCGTAGATCATATCTTTAGGTACTACGGTCAGAAATGTTCGCAATTTTATAGTGATTTTCTTAATAATGTAATCCTTATTAACTATGCTACTATAGAAGTCACAAATCAAACAACAAACGTCGTTAGTTAAAAAAAATTGTTTGATTGAGTTAAGGTTGAAAAAATTTATGTCTATTAAGTTTGCTACTTTTTCTAAAAACAGGAATAGTACAGCACCGTTGGCAAGTAACTTTAAAAGTTGGCATGATTAGTCAAGATTCCAAAATGGTACAACACTTGCCATTTTTCTTTTCATAAAAAATATTATTGCCTGTTTTTTTGGTTTTTATTGTGAAATCGATAGAAACGTCAATAATTGGACTGTTGGTTAAATCATATCATTCATAAACGCTCATAAATGAAACGGAAAATTGGTTCGAGAAATGGCGCATCTTACTCAATCCCACTAAAACACAATTTTTTGTCCCATTCTTGTCACCCAGCGCTCCCTCTCCCACAATTACAATCCAATCAACGGCAATCTCCGTCTCACCAACCTGCAATTATCTGGGCATAACACTTGACAGAACGCTAAAGTTTTCCACTCAAGTAAAGACATGCGCCAAGCACTTTAAATCACTCTCGCTCAGTGATCGCGGAATCTCCACCTCATGTGCCTCACACATCTACAAGACCATATGCAGGCCCATCATAGATATGGACCAATACTGCTAAGCGACGCACCAAGAAGAACGAAGTACCACCTGGAAGTGGCGGAAAGATCTGCACTGCGATCCATCACCCGAATTAGGAATCCGCTCTTTAACCCAAGCAATGAACTCCTATATCAACTTACCGATATCCCCCCCTACCAACGCTTGGAAGGCACATGCTTATATCGCCTGGATTACTTCACCCTCTCAACAATCCACCTCTTCTCTTCCAAAAACTCCTGGCTGTCAGAGAAGACTGAAACACAGTGTTGCCACACAGAGGACGCTGTAGTACCGTACTTGAAAACGAAAATTACCGTATTTTATGTAAAAATACCGTACTTGTACTAAAAATTGTAGTGACAAAAAAGGTTTTGCGAAGTAAAGGATATAAAGTGAAGTGTGCAAATAAATAGGTAAAAAAATATTTTAAGTATAGCAAAATAACTAATAGTTCTAATTAATTGGCAATTGTTAATTAGTATACTTCTGTAACAAAAAAAAAGAACTGAAAAAATCAAAATACTCTTCAATTACAAATTCTCCTCTCATTCTGCTTAACAAAATTAATATAATTTTCATTTTATGCCACACATTCTTTTGTTGTTGATGTAATTAATTTATTTCGTGATTTTGTCTTTATATTGTTAACTCTACTAAACAGACGTTTAGATACTGCATTTGAATGTGGTAAACACAACACATTTAGCACAAATGTCGTCAAATTTCTAAACAAATACTCATTTCCAGCATTTCTATAATTATATAGTGTACCCCAAAAAACATTGATATTTACGGTAATGTTTATTTTGTCATCATGATTAGATGTATAGTTTGCCAATAACCGCCACTCATCCTCTACACACAGTTTCGTACTTTTTCCCACTAATCTTTCTAATTATTGTAGAATTGGCTGTAATGACTGAACATTATTTCGCGAGTCTGATTTGGTAATGTTTTCCGGTTTGAAAATGTGTAGATTAGATAATACATCGTTGTTAAAATCTTATCGTTTTCTTATTTCTTTACAGAGAGTTACGTAGACGTAGATAACCCTACATAGATAATAAATTGAAGACAACCATCGTAAAAATAAATTAGTAACTCTTGTTGGTGCTGAATTTTGAGTTTATTAATTTCCCTACAGATCTGTATGCAAGATATAATAGATCTGTAGGGAAATTAAATCGTTTTCTTATTTTTCGTCTACGTAACTCTCTGTAAAGAAATAAGAAAACGATAAGATTTTACCAACGATGTATTATCATACATTGTTTCCTGACAAACAATGCCTGGAATCATGGGGATTAATTAAATTAATTTCAGTGCTATTTACATAAGAACTTTGCATGTAACCTAATAAAAATTCTTTATACATACACTGTGTTAATTAATTATCGTACCCGACGTCATAACTGCAAGTATGCAACCAATATCACAGTATTCGTATGGCAATACGCAAATCGCGTTATGGGTTGCATACTTGAAATGATGACGTCGGGTACGATAATTAATTAACACACTGTATGTATTAAACATTGCATTGTGTAAGACTGTGATTACAATCTTCTCTGT